CAACATGGTACATGACTTAACAACAAAGTACAAGGAGATCAATAATGACTACCATAATGCCTCTAATTATCTTCAGAAGAATTGCCCATAACATCAGGCATGATAAAATTGACAAAACAGTACAGGACAAAAGCAACAAAAACAAAACAATGGAGACATTATAGAACTTCAAAAGATGATAATAGTCAAACCAAAATGGATATCCTAGTGCATCTTATTGTCTTCAAAGTAGTTGCCCATACCCTCAGACTTGATACTATCAGTCAGTATAGAATAAAATTAATCAAAACAAAACAACGAAAACAACACAGAGCTTCAAATCAGGGTAATAAGAAATCAAAAATGGTTACCATAATATATCCTGCTATCTGTGGAATAGCTGTCCATGCCTTCAAATCTAATATAAGTAGGCAAACTGAAACAGAATAAAAGCAAAATAAACACATCATTGAAAGTAATATGGGTTTCAAATCGATAAAAGATTAATGGCCAGTGCCTTCCCTTTTTAGACAATTCTTTCCCTTTCACTTTCACAGGGTATATTGTACATTTTGGATCCCACTAACTCCTTTAGTTTTTATATTAGAGAGGCAATCTGCTATTCACTTATGTGACTCTGAACCTTTTTACCCCTGAGCGTGATCTCAAGTTGTATCCATTTACCTACAAGAGCTTCAAGGTTATGTTTCTTTATAGCTGAACAGTTCTCCATTGTATAAAAATGTCATGGCTTTCCAACCAATCTGTAGCTGATGGGCAAGCTATCCCCAATTTTTCTGATTCCATGTCACATAGAGCATTGTTTTCTTGTCTTTGACTTTCCATCTATAAACACTCCTTCAGATTAAATGTATTTCTTATATAAAGCATATTGTTGGACCTTATCCCCTGATCCACTCTGCCTGTCTTTCTTTTATTGGTGAATCGAAGCCATCTATATTAGTGATTATGCCAAGCTTCTCTGTCTCATCTCTCTGCCATGCTATTTGTCTGCTGCTGGTTGCCTACTTTTCCCTGCATTCCACAGTCTGCCCCGTTCAGTGAGCCCCCTCTGCTGCTGTTCCTGAAACCATGGTCTTTTTTTCCTCTCTCTCTAGAAGATCAGAATTTTTTGTAGGGTTGGTTTAGTGGTCATGAATTCCTTCAGTTGTTCTTTGTCATGGAAGTATCTTGTTTCTCCATTAATTATAAAAGATAGTTATTCAGGATATATCAGTCTGGGTTAGAGGTTATTTTCTTTCAGGACTTGGAATACTTCACTCCAAACTCTGATTTGACAGTTTGTGTCGAGAAGTCTATAGTGATTCTGATGGGTTTTCCTTTATAGGTGATCTGTTTCTTTCATCTTATTGCTTTTAATATTCTGTTCTTGTGTTAAATTTCTGGGATCTTGGTTATTATATGTCTGGGTGTAGGTTTATTTTGGTTATAACTGGCTGGAGTCCTGTATGCCTCACTTATCTGAATATCATTTCCTTTTCCTATGCATGGGAACTTTTCTTTAATTATCTCTGTGAATAGCCTTTGTACTTCATTTCTATTTACCCCTGCTTTTTCGCTCATATTCTTTATTCTTAAATTATACTACTTCTTGTCATCTTGTCATCTTGTAGCCTTTGTATTGTTACTTTCTCGTTCCTTGTTATTTTTAAAAGATCTTTCCTTTCAGGATCACAAGCTGCAAACCTGTCTTCAAGATTTGATAGTCCATCTTTAGTTTCCTTCAAGCAGTTTTTTCAGCTTTCAATGGAGTTGTTAATTTCCTGGTAATCTTTTTGAATCAGTTTCATGTATTCTAAATCTTTTTTTATGGTCTTCATTGAAGGTTTCCCTCCTTTTTCTGTGCTCCTCTATTCTCTCTCTCTGTGTCATCTATAGAGGTGCTCTGCAACTCTTTTATTATGTTTCTCATTTCTTCTTTTACCTGGGGTAGTATTTCTGTTCTAAGTTTTTTTTTTTAATTTTATTTATAAAAGAGAAAAGTCAGAAAAGAAAAACAAAAAGCAAAAGGCATAAACATCAACAGCAGACTCAAAACAATAATACAGATCTTTAAAACAGAGTGAAAGATATTTAACAATAGTTATTATATTGCATATCATTTGCTTTTTTCAATAAAGAGTTCTCAGTTCTTTTATAGCCTCTTTAAGTTGTTTCTTTACTTCAGTTGCTGTTGCTTCAGAAACTTCAGGTGTGTAACTCCTAATCTCCTTGACCAGTACTGCTTGGGTTGGAGGCCAGAGACTGCCTTTGGCTTCTTCCTCCTGTCATGTTCCTGGTTTCTTCTGGACAAGTGTTCAGTGGGGTCCCCAACACTTCCTGTATTGGCTACAATTTCTCTGAAGTGAGACTGTTTGCTTTTTCTTGTCTGTGCTGGCTAGGGATATCTGATGGTGACCATTGGGTGCGCTGGTGTAGGGCTGTTTGCTACTTTTCCCAGCCTACTGGTGGCTCCTGGAGTGCAAGCAGGGGTGGGGCAGGCTGCTGCTTCCCTCCCAGGCTGTTTAACAGCAGAGAGCCCTCAACAAGTGTAGTAGGCCAGCGGGATGGAGCTAGTTGGGGATAGCTTTAGGGAAACCTAGGCCATGGCTTTTGGAATGTGTGCTGGGGCAAGACTCAGTCCAAGCAATTCCCACCAGTCTGCTCCCAGCTAGGAATGGCTGAATGAAGCCAGTTACACTTCTGTTTCTGAGACTATCCAGCCCGACTCCAAAATGGCCCCTGGCCAATTGACCACTCCCATGGGTAGACTTAGTCTTCCACACTCAATGCCAGCCAGTGCAGTTGTCCAGTCCGCTACTCCCCTCTGCCACAACTCTTCCCTGCAGAGGCCTTGGGGCTTGCCAGCCACCACATTCACTGTGTCTCTGTGTCCCCAGGTTCCATCATCTCTTCTTACACAATGGGGTTCTAACTATGGGTGAAAGTTTCGCCAGTTCCCTTGTTCTTCTGTTTAAGTTTGTCTTTTTTTAAAATTCTCTGTATGGGCTTCAATTCTCACTTTAGGTTCTTCCTGGGTCAAGGGGATCCACTATCTTCCTTCCTTCCTGTCTTCCCCACCATGCTGTATTCCAGCACCTAGACTGTTCATTTCAGAGAGATTGTTTACTCTGCTGCTTACTGTTATGGCATCTTTCTGTATTACCCCCCCCCCCGCAAATTTGTACTTTAGCAAAACAGTACCTGGCTGTAAGTCACAGTACCTGTGTTTGGGAGGTATAGAGAGTGTGTTTACCTACTTGGTATGACAAAGGGCAAAGTGTGCGTACATGCGAAAAAGTGTCAAACCAAGATTTTTACCTACAGCTGTGATCCATGTAATGAGTTTTGTGGATGTTTACTTTAGCGTCACTGGGGATAAAATATACCTGCACCATTCTTCTGCAATGTAAATGTGTACCTTAACATAATGAAAAGTGGATTTAGTTTGATTTTTCTGGTAAATGTAGCCCAATTCAGTACAATGGTATGAAAAAAAAAAAAAAAAAACAAGATATCCAAGTTGTCGAGGAAGTGAAAGTTAATGAGAAAAAAAAGTGAATCATCAGATCTTTTCTGCATGGAAGGTGAAGATGATAATGAATTTAACATTGGCCATGTCGACCAAACTTCCTGTGAGTGTGAAATGGAGCAAGAATTGACCAGTACAGACACAGGAAAGGCAGAACTCTTTGATTTAGATGATCATAAAACAGCAATGTGAGTACATATTTAACTAATCAAAATGGCACAAAATGATCATACAACCAAATACAAAGAACCAATGTTAAAAGTAGCTCCTAAAATGTAGTGAGACTCTTGGCATGAGTGAAACCTGTTGGACTTTGAATGCTTGCATTTCCATTCAGTGTTGGTAATTGATTGCAACAGATGAATTGCTACAAGAAATTGTAAAATACACAAATGCTGAAATAAGTGAAATGTGCTATATGCACTCATATCTATATTGAAAAATGGATTGATTATGTTACCTCACCAGCTGAACTGAAAGCACTCACAGGTCTGCTGTGCTTAGCAGGAATTTCTCATGGTCATCACAGGAATAGAAAAGACTTATGGGTATGGGTTTTAGGTATGCAGCATAACAATGACATTGAGGATATTTGTTTCCTTCAAATTTTCCTTCAAATTTTTTCATCACAAAATCACTAGGAAGAAATAAAAAGTAGTGATGAGCTGGTTGCTAACCACTCATTGGTGGAGAGCTTTGTGAATAACTGACAAGCAATTCACACACCATCTAAACACGTGACCACTGATGAACATCTCACAGCATTTCATGGGCACTGTAGCTTCATATTGTATATTCCCTCAGTCTTTAAAATACGACATAAAAATTTATACCCTTGTAGGTGCAAAGAGTCATTATGCTTTCAATTTAAGAATTTATGCAGAAACACAACCACCAGATCTTTAGTCAGAAACCAAATCATGCTGTGAACAGACTTGTTGCTCCATCTCCCAACTGATGGGAATGAGACTTTCGATAATTGGTTTCCCAGATTCCAGCTGATGTTGCCTTTGCTAACAGAGCACAAGTTGATCAGTGTAGGAACAGAAGGTAGGAAAAAGCAAAAAATAAGTGAAATGTTGCAATTTTAAAACAGAGAATTGAGAAGTGTAACGTTTGGAATTTAGAAAGAGATATCATTGGCCTCACATATGGCAAAGGAAAACAAACTGGTACTGTGAGTGTCAACATGGTGACATAATGGAAATTTTGATGGGGAAACTCAAGGAAACAGAAGCTTGATATGGTAACTTTCTACATCAAGGCCAAAGGCAGGGTAGGTGTTTTTGATAAGTTATGCAGCAATTGTGATGTCACCTGAAACACAAAGCATTGGCCAGTGGTTGTGTTTTACTCGATCCTAAACATGTGTGACAATTTTCTGAGAAAATAAGTGCACAATATCATGGTTAAGGTTTCTTAGAAGATTGGGATTGGAATTCTTCAGAGATCATTTACAGCAGAGGAAAAACAAAACGTTTCTTCCCAGGGAACTGTGCAAAGGAAATTATGGAGCACAGTGGTGAGTTGACAGGTGACTACCATGTGCAGCATCCCAAAGACCTCCCACGACAGCAAGAAAAGCAAAAGGCTTTCCACTGTGCCCTACGGAAAAGGACAAGAAGACAAAACACACGTGCTATCAGGGTAAGCCACACTTGTGTATGGGCTGTGCGGTTTTTGTGTGTGCAGACTGTTCACGGTGTGACAGTTGAGGCAGAGATTATTTGTGTGGCAGGCTTTTGTTAGTATTTACATTGTAGTTCACATAGGTTTTGTTTCTGTCATTGTCTTTTAGGATTTGTAAGCAGGTGAACTGCTGATGTGAAAATGTGAATGTGTATTCTAAGCAGGCTTACATGTTTGATATTTTATTAATATATTTTTTCCTACTGAGTACACACTTTACGTTTAGTAGGAAGCTCCTGAAAAAACAAGACGATGAGAGGTGACAAGAATGGCTGCTACATAGGAAGGGATAGCTAAGCACATGTGCTCTCAGTGTAAGTGGGATGTGTGCGTGGAACATGCAGTTGTCATGTGTGAAGGTGGCCTTAGGTGTCATAGCTGAAGCAAACAGTATTTGTGTGGTAGAGTTGTGTTGGTATTTTTATTGCAGTTCATACAGGAATTTATTTCTGATGTTATCTTTTATGTTTTGTAAGCAACTACACAGCTGATGTGGCAATGTTGATATTTATTCTAAACAGGCCATACGTGTTAAGTATTTACTATTTTATTTGTTCCTATTTTATGTTCCTCTTAACTGCACATTGTATAATATACTAAGAGCCTCCTGACAAAACAGCTTGACCAGCAAGAAGTCAAATATGCTCTACAAAAAAGCCAGGAAAGCGAAGCACATGTGCTGTGAGTGTAAGCGATGGCTATGTATGGAACACGCTGCTGTCATGTGTGAAGAGGGCTTTAGGTGTTAGAATGGAAGAAACGATTAGTCTTGCTATAGCATTTTATGGGTATTTTCTTTGTAGTTTGTATAGGATTTTATTACTATTGGTATTTTTTAGACTTTGGACATCAAAAATTTGATATTCAAAATTTTAATGCCTTTTTATAAACACTCAATAAATATTGAAAAAGCAAACCTTTACAATTTTGTTATGGTTTTCTGTTACATACTCATGGTTTAATATATTACAATTCATAAAATTACAATTAATAATTCTTCAATAGAAATACTCTAAAGAATAAATATAGGTATTATATACACAGAGTAATGCACCTTTATGACAAAATTGGAATGATCCCCGGTGGGTCACACACTCCCAACATACCATGGCAAAAGACAAGCATTCCTATTCCAGAAGGGACAGAGAGGGGAATAGAAAGGAATGGGACCCAAGCAAGATCAAAACCCAGCAGGGCACACATTAAGATCCAGAGTTCCCTGTCCAGCATTCAGTGTAATCTGTAAGAACAGAAGATGTCAACTCCCACGGGCTTCAGTGGCTCCCCCATATGGCACTGTGGTTGCAGCTCTCCTGGCTTCCATCATGGGCCAGCTTTGCTCACTCCTTGCAGTTTTCCTCACTCAGGTGAGCCATAGTCCTGGCCTCTCAGGTCTCCTGGGGTTTCCACTGCATTTTCAACTTCACATTCAGAGTTTCACACACTGCTGTCTTGGGTGCATTGTTTGACTTCCCAGGCTTTCTGTAATCTGGATGGACCTTCTCAATCCATAACTGTTTCATTTTGCATGCACCTAAAACCAGCATCGCTTGCATAATACCAAGATCTGATAACAGCTGGAGCAGTAGCCAGCTTTCCTTCTCAGTTGTCTGGACTGCTGAATACTGTGAATCCAATCCTGAGGAACAATGTCCCTAGACTGCCACCATTCTGCCGCATGGTGCTCTGGGGCTCCCTTCTCAAAGCAAAGGCTTTCACCTTTGCAATTTTTAGGCTGCAAGAGGTAGAGTTTTTCTAGATACAATCCATAACAAATACTAAACACTCCTTTGCATATTTGGGGTTTCTATTGGCTCAGTTTCTCCATCAGAAATCAAATCTTTGAAAATCAAAGATTCCTACCAGTCGAAGGTCTTTGGCTCACATTGGGGCATTAGAACATTTGACTGCCTAAGGCACAGGTAGAGAACACTCAGCCATAATGTCACTTGCTCCCCTCAAGGGGCTGTTACTACTACTTCTGCTTGTACACAGACTATAATGCACCCAGTATTCATGTTAGAGAAGGTAATAGATGGCCATCAATCCCAGAAGAGGTAGGATGCATGTGTTCAAATACAGATGGTTTCTCTTTTCTAAAACTGTGAAAAGCAGAAAATATCTTGGTAAGAGCAGGCATTGACATTCCTCCTGCCCCCTGCCAGTCCCAGTACAAAGAGCAAACAGGCATTCTTGTTCTCTGGCCTTGTGAACATGGTAGCCCCAAGGAGAGGCCCAGAGAGCAGGCCAAGCATGGGTGGGGATGTGAGGAGGCTGCCTGGCTCCCACCCCTGGGGCAGATTGCAGCTTTACACAGGCCTGATGATCTCACTTGGCCAGCTGGCTATTTGAGGAAATGCTTTGCCACCAGCCCCAAGCTAGGCCTGTGACCTCTGTGACAGTTACCCCAGGTGGTAGCACATGGCATCTCTGGCAGCAGACCATGTCTCCAGCAATCCACAGGATTCTCTTGGCCTTGTGTTAGCCCTGGAAGTCGCTGTCTGAACAGTAGGATATGGTGAGATGCAGACCCATGACCAGGGTTGTAAAGACCGCAAAACATCCTGGCTTATCCAGGATTCACATCCATCCTCCAGATAGGAAGGCGAAGTTCGACCTCTTCTAATGATTTTCATGTGTACCTCATTTAATTTAATTTATCTATTTTTTGAGACAAGGTCATACTGTATAGTTCTCATTGATCTTGACCTCATATATAGCCTCAAGCTGGCCTCTAACTGAGTAATCTTCCTGCCTTAGCCTCCCACATGCCGGGATTACAGGCATGTGCAACCACACCTGGCCAGTTCGCTTATTTTCAAGCTGTTCTGAAGTATGTATAGCACACACATTACCATTTTAAAGAGTGCAGTTCATCAGGTTATTAATCCATATTTACATGTTGGATGATGCAATCTAAATCTTTTTGCTTATGAAAAACCGAAACTCTGTCTCCATTAAACACCTACTCTCCACACCCTCCACATCATATTTTTGTGTCTGTGCATGAGGTGACACTAGGTATGTTGTATAAGTGGAATTCTACAGAATTTGCAGGTTTGTGGCTTACTTAATTTGCAAACACCATGTCTGTGGTTTTACTCATATTGCTGCGTGGGTTACAGTTTCCTTCCTCTATAGGCTGAATAATCTCCCACTGACATCTGTGGCTCTGTTTCCTTTATCCCTTTCTTCCATATTTGGGCACTTGGGTGGTTTCTACCTTTTGGCCTTCATGAAAACTGTTGATGGGAACAAAGAGAAAAACATCTCTTTGAGGCTTGTCCTACTTTGCAAATAGCTGCACTATTTTAGATTCCCACCAGGAATGCATGAGTGTTCCAGTTTCTGTACATCTTCCCAACAGTTGTGATTTTGTGTTTTGCTCATACTGGCCATCCTGAAGTGGACATGCTGGTACATGCCTGTAATCCCAGCATGCTAGAGGCTGAGGCAGCAGGATTACCATGAGTTCCAGGGTGCTGTGGGCTACACAGTGAATTCAAGGCTGGGCTGAACTGAATAGCAAGATCTTGTCTAAGAAAAATATCGTAATAATCCTAATGCATATAAGTAGCATTTCGCTGATTTTGATTTGCATTTGTTTAATAAGGAATAATTTTGAGTGTCTTTTCAGGTTTTTATTGGACATTGGTGGTATTTTTGGGGAAAAGTAAATAAAAGGCCTGTCCACACTTTTAACATTGGCTTTTTGTTTTATATTTGTTTTTTTATTCTTGTTGAGTACTGAGAGTTTTGTTTTGTTTTGCTTTACGTATCTGGATATGGATTCTTTATCAGATTAATTCATTGAAAAAGTTCCTCCATGCCGTTCCCACTGTAGCACAAGTGTCAGAGCCCAGAAGCTGTTGAAATGACTGTAATTTCCTTTACCTGTTTTTCCTTCCTGGTTTGTGCTTTTGCTGTCATATCAGAAGTTAGCACTACAACCAACATCATGAAGATGTTTTCCCAAATTTCAAGAGTTTTCTGATTTGGGGCTTCCTTTCAGGTCTTTCATCCATCTTGAAATGCATTTTTGCACATCATGATGTAAAGTTCCAAATTCATTCTTTTATATGTGGGTATCCAGTTTCCTCAGAGTAATTTGTCGAGAAGACTGTTCTTTCCCTGTTGAATAGTCTGGCCTCAAAGGGCTAATTATTACAGAGAACTAACTAAAATTTCAGTAGGACATGAATGAAAATGAAATATGTGTGTGTATGTGTGTGTGTGTGTGTGTGTGTGTGTGTGTGTCTGTCTGTCTGTTTAGGTGTGTTTGGATTATTCAGCCATAGCAACGATGGACTCACTCACACTACCTCCTGCCCTGGATGAATGTCAGAAATGTGATGCCAGGCACAAAAGGCCATGTCTGTTCTGAGGCCTTTTATGTGAAATGCCCAGAACAGCCCATCCAGTGATGTAGAAAGCTGGTGAGAGGTGGTAGGGGCTGGGATTGCAGCATCACTGTCTACTGGAGATGGAGCTCCCTCTGGGGAGATAGGTCTCTTTTGGAGCTAGAAAGAAGGGGTGGTATTAGTAACACGGACTCATCAAATTAAAAGGATTGATACAGGGAATGTGGGCAAAGAGGGAGATGGGGGTGAAAATGATCAAAGTGTGCTATGGATTTGTAGAAATCTGCGAGAATGAAACCCACTGACCTGGGTAAGCAGGACACATTCATAAAACATGTGGAATAATCATATGGTTAAGTTTATATCACACGAATCCCACCTAAATAAAAATAGAGCCAGACTTTAAAAAGTAAAGTAGACTCTCTTACCTGGATCAGCCTCACTGCAGACTGTGTTGGCCATGGCGTTGCATTCCCACACAACTGGGATCCCCTTGGGACAGCTAGAGAGAGATAGCATCCATTTCTTCCTGCTTGGAGTCCATCTCTGTCTCTGAGGTCACCCTGTCTCTGGGGCCATCTCTAGGGTCACCTGTAA